GCGCTCCATCATGTAATTTCTCCAGTTGTGTGCGTTCTGCTAAACTGTATAATGAGAGTGAGAAGAGAGCTGGATCAGTCCAGAGTGGGCCTCTGCTGTGGAGGACAAGGGAAAGGCAATGAAGCAAGTACCCTGAGAGAGGGACCTGTACCTTGGAAAGCATTGGGCTTCCAGTCAGATCTGGCATGCTCTTGTTGGCGTTTGATGATCTGGAGTAGGTATAGATCTCACCCTGGGTTGTCCATATATCTGTGGCAGGTCTCCAAAGTGAAAAGCCTCCTGCATATTAGAAGAGTATAGGGAAAGGAAGTTGGCAACTTTGGGAGGGGCAGGACCCACCAATCTGGGTCCAGGGTATTGAGAAGAAAGTCAATGGGGCAAGTATGTGGAGATGTTCAACGTCCTTGAGGTGCTCGAACATGGAGTTTAAATGACCCAGGAAAAGATGCAGCAACATTGCAGAAGTAAAGGCAGATGAAGAAAGTACATACATGGGAATGATCAAGGACGTGGGAACCCTGAGGATGAAGGATGTGTGGTGGGGCTAGTGAAAGATCTGGAAAGATGGCAAGTTGTGGTCAGGGAGCAGGATATTTGGATTTATGACTTCAGAGGTGGAGAAGCTCTGAGTAATCCATAAGTCAGGAAGTGGTCTTGGGAGGGGCACTGTTGACCCTTGTCATCACTGGGACCACCTCTTTGATCTGACACTCACATGGCTTCTCTCGCTCCTTTCGGCATCTGATGCACGTCCCTTCCCAACTCCCCTTTCTCCTCTTTCTGGTCCAGCAAGAGGAACTCACAGCATCTTTTCTTATTTCCGGGGAAATTCATTCCACATGTGTCTGATTCACTTGCATTTACAGAAACTTGAAATCTCTAGTGTCCAAATACCCTTTCAACTATTTTTTCCCTTCCCTTTCTTAGAAACAGGAAGTTGTGTTTGGCTGAGGCAACTCTTTTCAGTGCTCCTGAGACTTAGAAGATGTTTGGAATGAGGAACAGTGAGGTCTGGGGAAGGCTTCTTTACTTTCTTCTTTGCTGGGACAATTGGACATCACCTGCCAGGGAATACTAGAATGTTTTGGTCTCCCTCTACTGAGTCCAAGCCCAGAAGGAAAATGTTCCAAACGGGACAGGTGTCTTTCCCCCCTCCCTGCCTTAGCTTGGAGTTTTAGAATGCATTCCCATATTGGTATTTTCTCTCTCTTCCCAATAGTTTTCCCAGAGGAACCCCTTTCTCTCTTCCATGGGGTTTCTGGGTTGGTCGGCAATGTTAAGCAAGTATGGTTACTTCTTTAGTGAGACGTCAGTGAACCTTCCCATTTGAAGAACAAACCAGGGAAACATGTCACAGATTATAACGAGGCACACCTATCTTGCTATGTCTGACAAGGCCGTTCTTGTTTTTGTTGGTCTAAAAAACAGACAGGTGCCTGGGAGGGGGTCTCAATCCTACCGAGGAAGACTGGGAGTCTCAGCTCACTCACAGCTTACATGGAAATCCAACTGTCAGTTCCTCGGTGTGTTAGCTGATACTGTTTAGGATATTATATCTGTTTTATCCAGCCTACATTTCTCACCCTCCCCTCTTTTTTTTTTTTTTACCCCCTGTGCTCCGGATCAAAACTCAGGTTTTCACTCGTGCTAGCCACACATTCAACCACAGAGCTACACTCCAGGGCCCCTACAATATTTCCCTGTGCAAAGCAGATAAGGCCATAGTATCTGTTCCTTTAATGATTGCCCACAATGAGCCAGCAAAAATGTCGGCTTCCATTGGTGAGTTCTTCTCTTTTATGTTCTGCGCAGAGATTTCCTCATAAAGACGAGTTGTCCTCCTGCCATAGGCCACCAAAGGACAGTAAACCCGTTTATCTTCCTCGACCACAGCAAAGCTGGTTCCCACTTCCTCTCCCTTTTGTCCTCTCATTTTAAATGACCTTGAGGTGCCCAATGATCTGAATGAGGATGGCATTAGGGGTGTGGCTGGCTGGCAGGAACACACTCCTTCTCACTTGGGGAATTCCCTCCCCAAATTTGCAGTCTCTGTTTGTCTACTTGGGAATAAAGCACAGAGAAGAAACCCCAGGCAAGGATTCACTTATTTTGTATTTTTGTGACAGGGTCTCATTAAGTAGCTTAGACTGGCATTGAACTTAAGAGCTTCTAGCCTCAGCTTCCTGAGTGCTGGGATTGCATAGGTGTGCCACTATGCCTAATTTTGGATTCACTTATCTTAAGGATGAAAAGTTGGGGGAAAACCCAACTTGATGCTAATGCATTACCTTTGGGATATTTGGGGCAGCTGCTTGGAGTATCCAGATTAATGGCCGAGTTACCTGCTGAGTTAGGGTGTTAGGATCTCCAACGAGAAAGCACTGGTACCAGTTTCCGGGGCAATGGCTAGAAAATGCAAACTCTCAGCAGAGGAAATCCTGTCTTTCCCTCTCTGAGCTAAAGGGGTGGCCGCGGCTGGCCAGGGCCGACCATGGTGTGGTCTCCCTCTGCAGCTCTGTTTGCTGAGTACTGAGCTGCAGCTGTTGAATTTTCAGACACAAACAAGTATGTATTCTGTGAGCCTTGCTGAGCCCACACAGCAAGGGAGAGCCAAGCCGGATTCCATTCTGCTTTGCACATCAGCAGCTCTGCTGCCAGCTGAACTCCAGGGCAAAAGCTGTGTCTGGTAATGATACAGGCAGTCGGGATGGCACAGCTGGCCCCACAGGGGAGCTGGTGAGGACGGCACACTCGGCTTTGATTATTTGGGGGACAGTGAGAAACGGAAGGGCGTGAAGACTTGCAGAAACACACACCAGTCTCAGCAAACTGGGGCACACCAAAGTGGGGAGAAACAGTGTTGATCACCCATCAACAACATGCCTGTGTGTGCACGCTTGTTTATATTTAGGTAAGCCCGGCCTCCTACTCTCTTGTTTATATTTAGGTAAGCCCGGCCTCCTACTCACTGAAAAACTAGACAGACATGAAAAAGTAGATGTCAATTGCCACCGTCTAGAGACCAGTTAGGGAGGGCAGTAGTGGCTGCAATCCTACTGGCCTTACTTTGTGCTCCAAAGGTCTAAGTCCTTATTTATACCAGGGCTCCATTTTTGTTTGTTTGGTTTTTTGAGACAGGGTTTCTCTGTGTAGCTTTGGCACCTTTCCTGGAACTTACTCTGTAGCCCAGGCTGGCCTCGAACTCACAGAGATCCACCTGCCTCTGCTTCCCAAGTGCTAGGATTAAAGGCGTGTGCCACCATTGCCCAGCTATGTTTGTTTGTTTTTCAAGACAGGGTTTCTCTGTGCAGCCCTGGCTGTCCTGGAACTAGCTCTGTAGACCAGGCTGGCCTCAAACTCACAGAGATTTAATCCCTCCCAAGTGCTGGGATTAAAGGCATGTGCCACTAACCACTGCCCCCCCCCCCCAAAGGCAGGGGTCCAAGGCTGCATTTAGCAGAGTGTCTGTCTGCTCATGTCTCATGTCTTGAGAGAAACTTGGAAGCAAGAAAAAAGGGTAATGAAAAACAGGAAGATGTAAATTGAGGTATATCCCCTCTATTGCTAGAATGCATTTCTTTCTTCTTTTTTCTCTCTTTCTTTCTTTGTTCCTTTTTTTGCATGTATATGTCTTTGTGGTGTGTGTGTGTATTCATGTGTGTGGTGCATGTGGAGGTCAGAGGTCGATATCAGTTGTCTTTCTTGATTGCCTTCCACTTTCTTTATTGAGGTAAGGTGTCTTGCTGTACCTGGACCTTGATGGTTGGTTAACTCTAGCTAATCTCCCACTAATCTAAGGTAATCTAGCTTCTCTACTTACTCTACTCAGTTGGCCTGTAGTTCCCCTGTCACTGCCTCCTGAGCTTTGGAATTACAGGCGGCTGCCAGTGCCACTTGGCTTGTTACATGGGTACAGGAGATCTGGACCCCTGGCTTCACACCTGGACATCAAGCACTTTATCCACTGGATCAGCTCTTTGGCTCCTAGGATGCCATTTTTTTTTAAATGTCCATTTCTTCTCACCCATTTATGACCAAGGACTGAGTTCCTTATATGGAAGATTGAGCCAGAGAGCTCTTCTGAGCCTTGAGGGAGATGAGCTCTGTAGACAGGATTTTAGGGGCTCTCGGGGTTTCCCGTGGGTAACAGATAGGGACCGTTACTCCAGGTTAATAGTGCTCACGAGGGAGTTGGACTAAAAGAGTTGTGAAATACGGATGAAACATGGTGGGGGTCAGGTGCTGAGCAGGTGCTCTTGTCACTGGAGTGATGTTTGTTCCCTAGGCAGAAGGTGGGAGAGGCTCTTGTGTTGTTGTTGTTGTTGTTTAAATGAGGCAGGCCAGCATGTAAGAAGGCTGATGGAGCAGCCTGCTGAGTAGAAGGATACCCTTTCTCAAGAATAACAAGGCCCTGACTCAAAATAAATAAAAAAATGTAAAGACAGGCACAGTGGCACACCCCTGCAATTTCAGCACTGGGGAGGTGAAGATAGGATCAGAAGTTCAAGACCACCTTTGACTACATAGAAAGTTTGAGATCAGTCAGCACTACATGAGAACTTTTCTCAAAATAAAAAACCAAAATGAACAACAATGAAAAAAAAAAGTATCCCAAAAGTATTGAAAACTACCATAACCTCGGGAAGGAATTTTCTCTAATGCAGGGTTCTTAAAATGCGGTCTCTAAAACAGCAGCCTTCATATTACCTGGGTGGTTGTAGAACCGCAGACACTAGCATGCTGGGCTGAGTCCTCTAAAGGCACTGGGGTTTGAGAGTCATTGGTGGCACTCACACAGATGAGCAGGTGCTTGCATGAGTTGGACTTTGTAGGCTTGTGAGAACCTAGGGCGGTCGCTTTCTTACTGAAAGCTGAAGATACCCAGGGAAGGTGGCAGCTGCCCTATGTGTACTCTGAGTAAGCTTGTTTTAGCCTTTGTTTTTGGATGCTGGGTCTCTGCCCTTTCCAAAGAAGCAATGAACCAGACTAGACAGTTTCATTGGCATAAGATCCCACTTTAGTTCAGAGACATATCTGCATAAATATTTGAAATGGGGTCCACCCCAGCAGGCGGCAGCCTGAGAACAAGTGGCTCTCTTGAACCCTGTATGGACACCACCACCCTTTAGACACTGGCTTTTAACACTGAAGATATTCATTTCTGAAGATAACTCGGAGCTTGCTTTGACATCACCAATAACGCCTGGCCTCATACCTCTCATATACTGACTTCCCCCTCACTGTGAGGTAGATTGATTATTGGGGAAACCAAATAGAAAAAAAAATTCTTCTTTTTCACTTAACTTTGCCAAGTCCTTTGCAAAAAGGTTGGCTCTGAAGTCTCCCATTTGGATCAATAAGTGCACTTTTATCTTTTAACTTATACCCTCTACTTGAACCTAAGCAAGGTCCAGTCCACTGGACAGTCAACTCCAGGATCTGTTACCCTCGTACCCTCTTCTCCTCTTCCTTATGAATTAGGCAGTACCCAAAGGGCTGTAGTAACAGGAGGCCTGGAAGGGCCAAGCCATCTTGATAATATCACCTCAGAGGGGACCCTTGTCTATATACCCCAGTAGCCCAAGTCCATGAGCCTAAGACATTTCCACCAAGGGGATCAGAGGGGACATGGCTGGCTTCCACAGGGCTTGACATCTTCAGGTTTCAGAGCCTCATCACAGGTGTCAGAGGCCTGACCCGAGGGGTCTCTGCATTCCACAGTCCGCCGAAGCCAGCTTCCTCCACAAGTGCTAGGACACTCAGACCAGTCCCCCAGCACCCACTCTGCATGGGGCAGTGACTGGATGATGTTGGTGGTCGCTCTTTCTTTGCTATTCTGCGTGCTGAAGTCCATGTCATTGGGGACAAAGAAGGTGTACCTGAGTTTTGGGGGAAAGACCTCACCAGACACAGTCAGGAGCTGTACTGTGAGAGGCTCAGGTAGGGCCTGGAAGCTCTGCAGCCTCTCCAGGGTAGCCATGGAGCCACTGTACTTTAGGACCGTCCCCTTCATCAAGATGTCCTGCTCTATGGCGGAGATGGCCAGGTTGCCATTGAGTAGGTACTGCCCACTGGCTGTCTTCAGTGCCAGGTAGCTGCCATCATTCCGGACCCCTGGGTGGCTCCGCTGTTTCACATCAATGTTCGTGGCACCAGCTGGGATGGTGACAATATCATTGTAGCCATAACTATGATAGAGATAGAACAACTGTTAGGGCTGGTGGCTCCCTAGCCTGGAAGTTAAAATGGGTTCCCCCAGGTGAACAGACAAACAGCTCCCGCAAATCATAAAGCGATTGCCTCAAAGTTCTAAATAAATTAGTTGCTAAGGCAGATAGAATTGTCTTGGGTATTGGGCTCTCCATGGGTTTTTGCTTCATCTGGCGAATCTGCTGTGGCTATTGAGGCAGTTAGACACGCAGGAGAGCCTGGCAGAAAAGTGCCGGCAGGCTGGCCCCGCCTTGGTTCAAGTGAGAATTCAAATACATTTGCTATCTTGCAGCGGTAAAAGTGGGCACAGCTACCTCCAGACCCAGAGCTCAAACTCATGTGGAAAAATATGAACCCTTCACTCATGCCAGAACCCAACCAGGATAGAGGATTGACACTGCCTCTTTGAGTCAACTCTCATATAATATTTGATGACTATGGACTTGGCAAAGATGGAGGATAACGCTTGCTTCTTTACCACCTCTTGAGTGTGCCCAGACCCTGTGAGCACTATGGTTTTTGGTGATGGGATACTGTTGGGAAAAATGCTTCCAGTCCATTGTAGACATGGGACTTTATGCAGGACGCCAGAACTTAGTTCCTTGTCCTCCTGTAGGAATGTGGGTGACACAGGGTTGAGATAAACCATTGAGGAGGGCCATCCGGTGGATTCTTTGCTATTCTTTATGTCCAGCTGGGGCCAGTCGAAGGCTAGGGAAAGTGTCCAAGGCCATATGTCTAGGACCTAGGAGGAAGTGGCGAAAGCGACCCATGATCTGAATAGCTCATGCTTTTTTTTTTTTTCCCCTACTTATTTTGAGCTTAAATTTGAAAATACTTCCAAGTTGACTGCTGGGAACTGGTTCTATTTTTTGAGATCTGCACTACTATAACATATGTACATGAGAAAGAGAAGAGAGAAGAGGAGGGAGGGAGGGGTGGAGGAGAAGGGAGGGAAAGGAGAGAAGTGGGTATAGAGAAGGATGGAGCAGGCTTCACTAGGCAGAAAACTAGTTAGTAAAGAGACAAAAACTCCGAGGTACTGGGGCTGGACCGGAGGCTTGAAAGATACAAAGTCATGAATGTACTTGACCCCAGAGTGACAAAGGAAACACTTGACCTTGACCCTACCTTCCGGGACTCTCCAGGAAGTGCAAGGGACAGCAGACAACAATCACCAGGTACTTCAGGAACCTGGCCTGGCATGCAGAGATGCCCTAGGTTTAATCTCTAGCCCAGCAGGAGGAAGAAAAGAAGAAACCCACGTGTTCTTTCTGTCTCTCACCAGCTCTCAGTGTGACCTTAGAAAAGTCAACTGATCTTTTCATGTTTCAGTTCCTCAGCCCTAAGGTAGGGAATGACAGGGTTGGCCTTGCCCAGCAGAATGAAAGCACTTTGGAACACCACAGGAACGCTAATGCACGTGGGGTGCTTGGATGTGAGACGCTCTCTGAGTGCTTAGATTCCCAAGGGTGCTGAGCGCTGGTTTGTGCTCTCTTCTCTGATGAAGATCTAGTCATAGAAGGTCGCCGGCCTGAGGGTTAGATGTCCTTTCCGTAACTGGCCCAGGGGAGCTCTTTTGTGCCTGAGTCCTGTGTTACTCAGTGTTGCTCTCCTGCTGATTGACTCAGAGCTGACACATTTCTGTCCGTGTGGTTTCCAGCACTAATAAAGTAACAGCTGCCCTGGTCCCATCCTCTCCACGGCCAGATCCCATGCCATGTGCTCTATCTACACTTCCCACCTCAGGAAATCCTGACAGTGACCGTAAAAAGAGGTGACCACTGTACAGAAATGGAGACTTGAAGTACTTATAAGACCCCCTGCCCCCCACTCCCTCTACACAACTATTAACTAGCAGCTGTAATTTATACTTGAGGCCATCAGTGCCCAAAGCCCTTTATGAGATGTAGAGGCAAGAACTCTGCCTAGGTTCAACCACTAGGAGACCTACCTGAAGGGGGTGAAAGAACCGGAGACCTTTCTACAGGTAGTGCCTTTGCCCCCACACACCCCACATTTGTCCAGCTTCTTAGGTGAGTTCACCACATGGTCACAGCCAGCCTTAACACACTGCCCCCGGACGCAGATGGACAGAGTGTCCGGCCCACACAGAGTGCCATCGATCACCTGGGAAAGGGAAGGTAAGAGAGGACATGGGGCACACAGAAGCAGTCTGTAGGTGGGGGTGGTGGGGGTGTCTGTCCTCCCACCCTGTCTCAAGCCAGGAGATTCTTACCTTGGGTTCAAACACTTTGAACTCACTCCTCCCCCGGGCTCTGCAGAACAGCTTGCATCGGTCCCGGGGGGACACTCCTGAATACTTGGGGACCCACTGCAGGAGATTCCCATCCAGATCAGTATGGTTGTAGGCATTGTATTTCTCACACTGCTGCTCCCTGAAGCTTTTGCCTGAGAAGAGCAAGGAATGACATGGAAGTAGCATACCTGCTGGAGGACCCTGGCAGAGAAAGATCTGGATCCAGGGACCCTTTCTTTCTCTAGGCTTTGGACTCAACCCAAGGACACAGGCAGAACCTATTATTTCTAGACACACCTTGCGTGCTGGTGCGTGACCCTTCCTCAGAGATCCAAGGGGAGGAGCCATCCAGC